GTCCCAAACCTTTGGCGAAAGTAGAGATTTTATCCCCAACTAATTTTCATCACAATCTTATCTCCAACGTTTGAGAAATGAGCACAGTCGGTCTTTATTCTTCGTTTTCTCTATTATTTTTATATTTTGATTATTGTTTAATAAAACAAAATTGCCACATTTACACTATTTCTTATACCTGTTTTTTTACAATTTTGCACATGACANNNNTTTTTTTACAATTTTGCACATGACAATATCTGCACTCTTAATTTTGAATTCATCAATCACATCACTGCATAGATTTTCTCCACATACGGGGGAATATCAATCAAGTTGTTATGCAAGATGTACATATAGTAGTATTCCTAATAAAATATAGGTATTTAGTGTTGAACTATTTGCCCTTCTATAAAAGTCATATGTTGCTCACATGACTGGATTTAACACCTTAAATTGACGGAGACTGTGAAAAGGAACTAAGTTTATTGGTTCTAGATCTTAAGAGGACACCTCGAACAGAGCATAGACCATTGCAAAGTGATTAAAGGAGGTTAATTGTAAAAAATCCTTGATTACGAGATAGGAATGTGAACTAGTCGAGTCGAGCTGGCTCGCGAGTCGAAAATTGTGGCTCGGGTGCAACCCAAACAAAAAATGGCTAGGGTGTTTTTGTCTCGAGCCGAAGCTCAGTTGAAAAATCAAGGCTAGGCTCAAGCCTTATCGAGCCGATCAGACTCGATTTTTTTTAATTAATTTTTAAAAAATTGGTTATAGTTGGCACGTAGCAACCAATGAGCTTGAGCCATCGCCCAAAAAATGATGTTCAGCCCTAGCGGCTTGTACCTTTTACTGATCGAGCTACAAGTCGCTTGGGCCTACGAGCCGAATTGGCATTTCTATTACGAGTTGAGGTTGGACCATATGACTCAGTTGTTAGAACAACCAAAATTCACTATCATCTGAAAACATCGTAAGTAAATTCAAGGAATGTTCCTCAATGACATCAACACCTCTCATTAATACGAATAAGAGACATGAAGGTGTCACCCCTGATGTCAGGTCCGCCACTCATCAATTATGATAAAGTAATGATTGCTTAGGTTGCGCATTGATGACGTAGATATCATGGTGGTCTGGCCTGCTCAAACTTCTCTACCAATAAAATCTATTCAAATAGGGTGGTGACATGCAATTCAAAGACAGATACTATGTCTTGACAAAACAGAGGGTGACAAGCATAAGTCTTTGAAGCCTATCTTGAGAAGACATTGTACTCTAATGACCATCTATAAATATTTGGAATTCCATCTTCAAAAGTCCACCTTATTAATAAAAGTAACTCAAACCCTTATATGTTGATATATATTTAGTAATTAGTCAATATAAGATTTATTTCTTAACATGTCCCGCAAGATAATAGCTCGTTTAAACTTTAAACTGGTCAATCTTGAAATTCGTGGATTCTTTTCTAATTTTATTCGAATCAGATTGCTCATTTGAGTTTAATGGACTCTAATACCTTATTAAGGTTTAGGGTTCAATTTTAAAATGTCAATCTTATTTAAAGGAATAACACAACCCCTTATATGTTTGTATATTTCGAAAATTAGTCGATGTGTAATTTATCCCTCCACTATTGTCCTAAACTTAGGGGGTGTGTCTCCCATTATTGGAAGAAAAATNATAAAGTGTCTGTTTGTCTATTATTATTGTGTTGTTAATGGTGTAATGAATAGTATTTTTTGAAGATTGTGTGGTTGAAATTTAAAGTAAGTTTATTGGTTTGTATGTAGAATATTTTATTTGGTGAATGTGTGGTGGAGAATCTTACTGTAGCAAACAATTTTTTAGAATAATGATAGACAAACAGGGGCTTAATACCATTTCACTAATCATTAATGATGACGCTGAACTCCTTCATCCTTTTTTGGTGTTATACAAATACTAATTCATGCTCCAAAAAAACCAAATTACAATATGAATAGCTTGGGACAAGAGAGATTATCAATTAGCTAGAGCTTAGATCAACAACCTTGTGGCTTGGCACATGGGTAAAGAAAACATGATGCGTGAAGTGATTTTCTTGATTCTACAGCTGCAATAAGCCAACATTATAAAGTATTTGATTTTTGCCTAACTACCACAAAATGTCATCTTTAATCCCCATTTTTCGCAGATTATAATAAAAGATTACCTAACCTTTTAAGAACTCATCCAATTGTATTCCAACAAAAGGGAAAAGATAAAGAGGTTAGCTCAGCCACCTAAAATTAACCTAGTAAAAGACCAAATCATAACTAACTTGATTTGCCAATGGAGCATATGCCTATGTTTCTTTACTTTCTCATTATAGTCTTTGCAAGCAAAGTTGTTGAGATTTTGCTAAGCATGAGAGTCGCGTGTTAGAGAATTGACATTTCCAAGTAATTGTGTAACATGTAGCTCTCATGATCAAGAATCGGAAGCTTGTTAATTTACTGTTAACTCTATGGTAACTTCGATTGTGACGCTGATATACAACACTTGATTGTATGATAGGTAAGGGTGCCCGGTTTTTAGACCGATAATATTATGACAAATGGTTCCTTTAAATTCAATTTGGCATTGTGGACAAACAAAAACTAATAAAGAAATAACTAAATGCTTGAATTGATTTATATTAAATGTGTGAATAATAAAAGAGTACTAAGTTGTAAATTCTACTAAATGTGCGGATAAGAAAATATGTTTAACCAGCATAAAAAATTTAAGTTTCGCCCAATGTGCGCTAAGATTCAAGAAAATTAGAAGTACATAGTAATGAAATTCGAGTTCACTCAAATTGATCTTTCAGCATTCTTTTCGACTCGGCTTGACTTAATTGTATAGCCCTTCATTTAGTTTGCATCACACAAACGACCGATCCAACAACCTTAACTTTAAGGTTGCATTTTATTTCCTTTTTCCTCATTTTAAGCTATCCATAATCTTATTTAAAGTTGCAAGTATTCTTTTCATGAACTGTCTGCACATTCCCTTTGTTTCACGCTTCAAAAACACCTTGATTCCATGCCTCTCCTAACCATTAATTCCACACTTAATGGTGTCATTCACACCGGCCCCGCGTAAAGTCAGAAATTTTGTATTTTCGAACCATTATGCAATGAATATGGAGAAAAAAGATGCTCAGTTTAAAGTAAGCAAATAGAATTTCAAACTCAATCTACGAGTTAGATATAGTATTATCTATATACTATAGAGAAATGCTATAAGTACAGGAAAATTTCCACATATTAGCAGCAGCAAATCAAAGGAAGACAGCTGTCTTCCTGTGCAAAATCAGTGAAAATTTACTGTACCTGCAAATTTATTCTATACTATAATACTTGTAAAGAAATGTTGTATGCTTGTTAGGGCTAAAATTTTTCATCACTTAAAATATGAAAATTATAATCAGTACTAAGTGTTTGGGCTGAGGTTTTTTATTTAAGACATCTCCAAGATCCAATGTGGTACAAGAGTTCAAAAGTTTCAAAGGACCAATTTAATTGGTCTAAAACGACCAATTTAATCAGCCGAATTGTAAAAATTAATGTTATCAAACGAGCTTTCGTCTTCTCGGAACTTGTTAAGGTATAATTTTTGTACTTAAATATAAAATCAATTTATCATCATATAAGAGTTTGAATTTCATTGTAAGTAGACAATATATCATTTGTTAAATAAGGAAAACAAAACAAGGAGCATCATTATAAGGAACAAGAGATTAAAATAGAAGCAGGGACATTGAATTTTGAAGTAAATAGTATTGATAAAGGATGAAACACCCTCAAATATAATTTTTTGGCTTTGCTTCTTTGTAAAGGAGGTAGAACGTCCTCATTTATCGTTTCAAGTCTTATTGCTCTCTTCCCCACGTAACTCTAGATGTAAGGCTTCAATGCTTTCTCCCATTTGTACTTTGATTCTTTGTAAAGGGGAGTTATATGTACTTGCTTGGGGTGTTAGTATAGATGCTTAGATTGTGGAGTTGAATATATGTAAGTGTTACGATGTCAGCTAAGGGTGTTAATTGAGGGTGGTAAGGCATGAGTTGAACAACAGATTTCTCGTTCGAGTCGCTCAAATTAGCTTGGAACCGACCTCGTAAATGGTTAGAAAAATTTTAGTTAAAAAAATTGACGAGATACAAGCGGACTTGACTCACCCTATTATGTTTGCTGGGTGAGTCGAGCCATGCTTCTATAAAGTAAGCCGGTTTGCATGGTGGGGCCGAGCCGTGCCCAATTATGGACGGTATGAACGATTTGTCTCATGCCATTAAACACCCTTATGTTCAACACCGAGTACATAGGAAAATATTATATTTTTCTGCGAATCTCTTTGGTGCTATTTGTGTCAATTTTCTCTCTCCAAAATACTATGTGCAGCCAGTGACAATTCATATAAATAGCATTAGACGTAGCCATAAGAAAAGTTAACACTCTTTTGTACACTTCAATTTAAACAATACATTTATAACTTCCGAATGGAATATGCATTCACATTTATACCCTATTTAGCCCCGTTTGGCCCCCTTTTTCATTTTCATTTTTTCTTTTCTATCTTACTTTTAACCGTACAATCTTCCATAAAATAATATTACATGTAAATTGAAAAATTTTCCTTCCTTTTCAACCACATTCTCCCAAAAAAAAAAAAACATTCCAAACATTAAAAATTGAAGGAAAGGGAGCCAAACAGGTTGTTAGTTCAACTAAAAATTTGATTAACCATGTTTCGTCCGGCTAAAAATCTTATTAAAATTTAAATCAAAATTAATCTTCAATTTTAATCGCGCATTTCATGGGATCACAATTTTTCAAACATATATTCCATTTTTTTTCAAACATATATTCAACCATTAGGAAAAAAAAAAAAAAATTCTTGACAACTAACCATTTTATTTGAAAACTACATTACATGACATAAGTGCCAAACCCAATTAAAGAAAATAATAGCTACATTCAAATTTTATTTGGAAATTTTTAATTTGTCAATCAAAAATTGACTCTTGATCTAAATATTGTGCCAGCAGGATATTTAACCCAATCAACTGGAATCACATTTCTGGCCACAATTGTTTTTCTGGACTCTATAGTAGTCAGCCTCACAGAGTATGGGCCAACATTAGTATATGGGAGGAATCCAGTCTCCCACATTTCACCAAATGATCGTTTCATATGAAGCACTTTATTGTTTCTCGAAACAATTAGGTCAACTGCAGCAAGATCACCGTCTCCATTTATAAACTCAGGAGCAAAGGCTATATAGTCTTTGTTCGTCCCTTTGGCAAGCCTAAAACCTATCGGTATCGAACGATAAGAACATGGAACTCTGCAAAATCCAAATATCGATAATACGTTAGAAAGAAGTGTAGTGTATGTAAATCGAGCTAACCCGAAAAGTAAATTTATATATATTGTTTCATAGAAATTTTCTTGCCTTTGATATTGAATGTCAATTCTTCCAAGCTTTAGAAACGGCGTACCGAGGCCAGGTTTTGCCAAGAGTTCGAAAGCTTTGTAACTTAGATCGAAGTGAATTGCCTCATTGTTGCATGTTCCGGGACACTCATTTGTGATTGTTACAGTAACGGGAATTCCTGAGCATGCTGCATTTTTTGTACATCTCACCTGTATACATAGCAATTAATTTTAAAAATTGCAAATAAACAATTTAATTTCGAATGTCCATCCTTGATAGAAATGGAGGATAAGCTCTAGAAATAATAAATAATACGAATATTAAAAATAAAAATAAAAAAATCAGATCAGCACCATATAGCAAGTCCCGCAGCCTGCTCCTGATTTAAATAAATTATTGTTTCCCGCAGCAGTCAAGCCATAATATGGAGCCTTTGATCCATCATCTTCAACTCCACAAGCTCCTCCTAAAAGTAATTAATTAAACAGTCATAAGAGATCCAATCAAACAAAAATAAGAAAAGGAAAACCGAAAGTCAGTTTCAGGTGAATGGATACTCTAAGATAGAGCGAGAAAAATGGAATTTGATTGATTCCACTTCTAAGACTTTGGAAAAATTAGAAAATTACAAAAATGAAACGAAAAAAAAAGTTTCATTTTAATTTCCTTCCAACATGTATGGATTAAAATTTTACCACTTCCACCTGCACCTCCACCAGGGCCTGCATAAAATGTTGCTACACCTGGTGAGAAAGCTGTAGGATTAGAGAAATTGAGTGATTTGGCATATGTGCAAGAAAAATAGTTAATTAGGGTTAGCAAACTAGTTACTACTGTCAAAAGAGAAAAAGGTTGAGGGATTTTAAAAGTAAACATTTTGCTAATTTAAAGTTGGTGCTTAAAGTTGTGGTACATGTCCGGATTTTATATTAAGGGAAAACTATTCAAAGTGCAGTAGAAACCAGAGGAGATAATTATGGAGTAAATAATGGAGATATAAATATGGCATTTGTCAAGGAATTAATGTCTCAAATCATTTAGCTAAATATGGAAATGATTCTATTGCAGTTTTATGCATTAAATATCAAATGAAACAAAATTTGGCAATGATATTGCTAGCTATATCCCTACTTTTACTCTTTTTATTTATGTAAATTTCCATGTAATTAATTTGCTTTACTATTCTCTTTCTAGTTGACATACAATATGAAAATCTACTAATTAAAATTGTTCAAAATCTTTACTAAAAAGTTGAAATAGTTAATCTTTCATAAATTCGAAATAGCGTGAATTTAGACAATTTTCATAGTATTACACAAAATAAAATTTTCATTATATTTCAAGAAATTTTTTTAGTTTTATAGTATTAAAGCTAACTGAAACATCATTGCATGAATATGTGCGGGTACAAACCATTGGCGCTTCAGCTGCAGATACAGATTATACAACTACAATTCTACCGGTGACACCGACCCTCCCATTCGGTCCCTTTGTCCGGAGAACGGTAACACTTCCAGCAGGGTAGGGCTCGAAAGCCATAACTGGTTCGATAACTCGTTCTCGCCAACCTGAGGAATGGCTTGGGAATTCTTGAATCAGAACAGAAGTTATTGACTGATGATTCAACAAAAAAAATTGTGCAAGGTTTCCTGGGAATTAGAGGACTGCTTGGATTGACATTTAGTGCTGAATTTGGGAAGTCAATGGTGAAAATGAGGGATCCTGAGATTAAGACAGGGACTACCACTTTATGCTGAAGTTAATGAGAAGTACCCTTTTCCTTGTAGAAGTTATCTTCAATATTCTCCTGCCGCTTTCTGATGAAATTCTCCTCAAAGATGTATTTTATACAGCACAGACTAGAAGTACATGTTGTCCTTCATTAACTAAGTACTCCGCCAAGCTCAAAATGTGGCTTGCTGATGGAGCATTTTTCCAACGACATGATCTTAAT